TAAAAGATTCAGTTACAGTTGTAAAAAGATCCAATAAAGGTTGAACTTTTTTTTATTCGAGTTTTAGTAGATTTTAACCTATAGATGTTAATGATGTAATTTTGATAAAGGAGGGTCAATGTAATTATTTGTCGATCGTTAAAGAGCTATCATTGATCACTGTAGTGGGCCATCTTAGATATATTAATCCGGTGATCGAAACCAATTAAATACCAACTTTTTACTATATTTAATCGACAGGTCTACTTGTTAATGATGATGTGGCATCCGACAAATACTCAAGAAGGCCTAACTATAGATCTGGCTTTATTAGAGTAGTAGAGATGAGATCCGCTGCCGCTGAGCGTGCGTGACGAGGACGACGACGACGCCGACATCGCGTGCCGACACCGAGCCCAGCCAGCCTGCCTGCCTGCTAAACGAACTCCCAATAGAAACGTTGGATTCTCATCGACAATTCATCGAGCATGAACGCGACAAACAAGAAACTATAACAACAGACGAAACGCCGTAATTGCCGCGACTGTAATCTCGCAGAACCCATCCAGCCAGCATTTTTACTTTGCCAACTCAAACTCAATCACCACATTCTACTCTCTCTCTCTCTCTCTCTCTCTCTCTCTCCATTCATCTGAAGTAATCTTGCAGAAGCTTCTCCGCCCCTACCCACCCACGTCTTCCATCACATTGCATTACATTATTTGGGACGTACCAGATGTTGGGTTCTGTGCAGGAGAGTGGTGTCATTGCCATTAACCTTTGTAGCCTTTATGGTCTTCTTCTCCATTATTCTCATGTACGACATGTTTTCAGGACCCTTTCTGACCGGTGCTAAGGATCCTCCACAGCAATAAGATAATCTCTACAAGTTCTCAGGACGTTTTTTTTTTTACCAGTGTAATAATTAGCTCTGTAATCTAATTTAATTAGATAAAATATATTATAAATTTATTTAACCTTTAATTAAAACTATCGATTAATAAAATATATATAGTCAAATTTTTTAAGATATGATCTTGATGAAAAGAACTTTTTTAATTATCATAATAGACCATCTACTTTTGTTTATAAAAAGATAAAATATTTTATGAATGAATCATTAAAATTTATAATTATAAATATATTTTTAACCTCTATTAGTCCTTATTCTATTGCTTATAGTAGTACTATAAATAATAAAAAGAAAAAACAATAATAAGTCTAGTTCTCTTAGTAGATCAACATCAGTATAGTTTTCGGATTCAACGATAGTGTGTTTGCATATTAGATAAAGTTTTTCTAAATGATATCAAAAGGTATATAATTTTGATCTTCATCTATGATTATTTGATTTTAATTTTGGTATTAAAGTTTTTACATAACAATATTATAATTATAGTTTTTATTCTTATAATTGTTATCAAAGCTAGCATTTTGAAATCAAATACTTTAAACATAAAAAAGTCTCAGATCTGTTTTGTATTTATATATGTTTATAAGCACCCTTCACTTGTAAAAGGATGTTATCGATCTAGTCATTTGTCATGTTTGCCCTAATTGGCTGCTTGTGGGCGATGCATGTTTCCTCCCATTGGTGATCTATGAACGATAGAAGGATAGGGGTGTTGGATAAAAGGATGTGCAACACTGCCATTGGTAGGTTGTTATTGAACGTCTAGGCCAAAGGTCATAGAAGGATGAGCGATGCGATGATGACCTCTATTAGTCATCGGCCTAGTCATAGGTAATAATTACACAGATAGTAGTATCATTGCATGCAACAACGATTGCTTGTGTACAACAACCTAGGCGATGCTGTGGCGACCTGCCTTGGTCACCAACGTTGCGCACGCAACAATGCCACTGTGTGCACAAGGCAGCAACACTACTACCTTTGATCGCTAGTTGCAAAGCAAATAGGCCGTAGTTCACAAAGGTTGTGGCGGTGTTGCTGGTAGCGATGTGCATCGATGGGACATCGGAGGATGTAGTTCCTAATGACTATACAATAATCGTAAAGGTTATTGGTCGACTGTGGATACTATGCATAGTGAGAATAGTAGTTTGTGGACACAGTGGCATGTTACGATGAATGTAGGGGTTGTCGATCGACTGCGGAGAAAGTTCGGATTGGTCGCACATTGCGGTGATGTGTGTGGGCACAGTGGCATGCTACGACAATCGTAGGGGTTGCCGATCAATTGTGAAGAGAGTTCGAGCCAATAGCACAATGTGGCGACCATAGGGGTCACCACTCGGCCATGCATCACAATGGTAGTAGGCGGCGCACAAGCGGAGAACTACTGTGCATCATGATGACCGTAGGTAGTTTGTAGGTAGCGGACTGCTGCACACTGCGAAAATCATAAACGGTGCACAAGCGACAAGCAATCATACACCACGATAGCCGTATGCCTCCTCCAATGACGGTTGAGGAGAAAAAGCATTTTTCAATCATTAAAAGATTATTTTGCCCTTTAAATTCTAAGCATTTTTCAATCATTAGAAGATTATTTTGCCCTTTAAATTCTTTTAATTCTAGTTGATGTCCCTTGTCAGTTTTGACTTTCAGAATCAAATATTTTTACTATATATCTTATCAAAACTATAATTTTATCGTTCAAAAATTAAATATTTTTGACTTATATCCTTAATTATAAAATTAACTAAATTTACTTTCTTTAATTAAATATTTTTTATCAAACTTTATTTTAACTATATTTTGACTATTTGATTAGATTTAGATTTGATGAATCTCGTGACCAAATTTAGAAAAAGTTAAAATTTGACTTTAGTCTATTTTAATTTTGATTGGTATAATTGGACTGTTGTTTAGGCCAAATTTACTAGTCTGGGTGGCTTAATTCTAGACTTGTTCAATTAAATAAGGTTGATTAGTCTAAAAGGATTCCATATGGAATAAAAATAATGTAAATTATAATTTTTTATAATTTTTTCAAATAACATATTAAAAAAATTTTGTTTGTGATAATTAATTTTTAATTATTATTCTTGGATATTTATGTATTTATTCATATACATATATTTAAAATTATGAAATAATATTTATTTTTTATACAAAGATATAATTTATGTTTTATCATGACTATAATTATTATGTAAGTTTTTTTTATATTGATTAATATTTAATAATTATTATGATTAATATTTAATTATTATTAAACTATTTTTTATATATAAATTAGATAATAAAATATAAAAAAAATATTATTTATAACTTATATCCATAAGTTTTATTGGATTAGTAGTTGTTAAAATGGCCTAGGATGGTAGAGTTATATGAGGTATAAATTATAATAAATATTTTATAATTTATATAATATTTTAAATTATATTTTATATTATTGTATTAGTCTTGTAAGCACCAAGATGACCTAGACTAATGACTCATAAATTATATTAAAGAATTAGCCTTAAATAATATTAAAAATATTCATAATAACACATATAATTATGAGATTTAGATAATCCTAAAGGAGAATTTACTTTGAATAAGTATGCAATAGGGTAAGATAATACTATTTTAGATATTATTACAATTTAAGAATGCATACTCAAAAATAATAATATTATTCTACAAGGATGATATTCGTTCTCCATAAATAATTTTGAATGAACACTAGCTATGTCAATATTTTACTCTTAGATGAAATATTAATGATATCAATAGTTTATCATAGAAACTCAAAATATTAATATTATTTTATATTTTATAATGGTACCTATTTCCACACACTCTAATGCTTCTAGTGTCCCTATACTCTCCGGTTTAAATTATTCAAAATGTCAAAGTATATGTAGTTTATAATGAGTTTATTAGATCTTGACTTAATATTGCTTGTTGAAAAGCCTGTAAACTTAACCGATGAAAATGTTATAGAACAAGTTAATGAAATGAATATTTGGAAAATATTTAATAGACTTAATCTAATGTTTATAAGAATGATAATTGTGAATAACATAAAAACTTTATTACCACCTACAACTAGTGCATAGAAATTTTTTAGAGCTACAAAAGATATATTTATCTACCGATAAGTCATTGGTTAGCACATTAATAAAGAAATTGTCTATGACTCAATATAATGATCCTCGAGGGATTCAAGATCATATCCTTAATATAGCTGATAAGACTATGAAAATCAAAGCATTAAGGATAAATGTGGATGATGTTGAATCTCGGATTTTGATGATGAAGTCAA